TATAAAGGTGGCATATACGGTACATGTTGTTACGTGTGTATCACTGATTTTAAGGCGAAAATCTCATCCAGCTCCTCAGAGCTGGGGCGTGTGCCCAAAATACAGCAGGCATTACCCCTTTGAACAGCCTCACTGAGCCGCTGGAACAGAAAACTAGCTGCCCTGGGATCCCTAGTTACCCTGATGAATGTTTTTCCCAGCTCCTTAAAGAATTTAGATGCATTCTTTCCACATGAGCCAAGGGTCTCTGAGCCTATGGGAACAAACATATAATGATGGCCAAGTTCTCCATATTTTCTAGACTTCTGGGACTCCCTGAAGCTGGCAGCTGCCCCTCCTTCCTCCATGGTGTATTGGAGATAGGTATAGTCCCACACCACCCACCACCTGTTTCCCGTCTGTCCAGGCTTGAAGGGTGATACCATCTGGACGCTTCTGGCTGCCATCAGATCTGCACAGCTGGGGTGGCTCCCTTATTGCTGGGCATCCAGCTGTTGTGAGGCTCCTCTTGATAATGTTATTAACCTCCTCATGTCTTGCAATATTTCCCTCGAATTTACGGCACATAAGACCATGGTACCCGAATCAGTCTGCTGCTTCACTGCCACAAATACACCTGTGTTCGGCGAGAATAGGGGCGGCAAGTCGAAGGGCAACACCGATGTGGATGGTCTGTGGGTCGAGACGTGTGCCAAGGCTAGAGTTGGGAACAGCCAACAGAAAGTCCCCTGCATGAGGGGATCTCACTGCCAGGAGGCGGGCCCTATCCTTCCCTGACACTAAAGCATTGTTAAGGCTATTTTCTCCACTATCAGGCCATCCCAGTGCGACTGTAGTTGTTGGAGGGAGCAGGTCTGGTTTCAGAGCCCGTTAGATTATCCCAGATCATGGCTCCGTCAATGAACTTTTGGTCCTGGACTCCAATCTTGTCCCTAAGATGTTCAGGGAGAATCGCTGCTACAAGCCCTCTGGATGCAATACATGAGGACAGAAAAGCAGGTAGCGCAATCTGTGATGACTTGCGGACACCAATGCCTCCTAGTCTGACTGGAAGTGTAGCTTGGTTCCACTGCCCGTCTTCTAGAAGTAAGGTTTAGTACTTTCGTAAAAATCTGCCTCAGGATACTGTCATATTCGTGCAGTATAGGGTTATCATATGAAGGTGCACATCTTAAGAAATATGTCAACCTGGGCAGACTCAAGCACTTTGTGAGAAGGTACAAGGCATCGTGGATGTCCAGATTGCCTATTCGTTGTTCTATTCTCCTTAACTCTTCCAATTTCTTCCTGAGAATTAAGTCAATGGCACTGCTTCCCTGAGGTGCTCCTAGCAAGACACTGTTTGTGGGGGCAATGACTGCTGCTCCTGATAGTTTTGATCTCACTGCAATTAATCACTTATTGACTGACTGAGATGATTTCACATTTGGATGGATTCAGGATGAGACCCATTTTCTGTCCCCGTGTCATTACCTGTGTAAGATCGTGTAGGAGGGACTCCTTTGTACGTGCTAGTGTGCCATCATCTAGGAACCAAATGTTTAGCTCGCTGGTCAGTCTGACTGTGATTTCCCTAACTGCTATACAGAAGAGAAATGGTGCAAGATGATCTCCTTGTTGGACACCCTCCGATGATGTGATTTCATGCTCTCCAAAGTGAAGCATTAATTCCTTGCTATACCCAGCTGCAACAAAAGGGAAGAGACCAAGGAAATGTTCTTGTACCACTGCTAATACCACGTCTCTTTTCAGGAGATTGAATGCATTCTTGAAATCTAATTTTACCACAGCATTGTCCTCAGGCAGGTTGTTGATATATGCCCTTGTTGCATGAACCGCTGCTTCACTTCTTTGAGAGACCCCAAAGCCAAGCTGGTTTGGTTGAAGCATCATGGCTGCCTGTGCACGAATACTTCGGACAGCAGCTTTGGATATGAGGCGGCGTAACGTGTTGCCTACTGCAATTGGCCAAATTCCTCCATCCTTCTTTTTAAGTGCACAAAGTGTTGCACCAAAAAAGGTCTAATTTCATCAGGAATCAAACCAGCCGAGGAATTGTTGACGAACCTTGTGATCTCTGAAAGCAGTGTCTCTGCAATTTCCCCAATAACTGGATTAACCATTTCCTTTAAATGCTGTGGCCTTATTCCAGTGTAACCCCCAGCAGAGCCCAATGGGAACAACATTATTGCTTTGTAAATGTCTGAGTCTTCCACAATCAATGGTTCACAGTGCGGACAGAGGTGTTGGAACTGTTGGTGCCACTGGTTTCCCTGGCAGGGAGCTTTTCTCTAAGTGCTTCAGCCGTATCAGCATCCCTGGGAGCAACTATATCTTCACTGGTAATAATTCTGATTGCCCCCACTGTGTTGCCCTCTTCAGTTTTCTTGCTCACCTGGACTCTGACTTTTTCACTGTCAGTGGAGTGAGTGGGGGTTCTGCCTCTCCCTTTTTGTGTTGACGGGGAAGGCGAATGAGGTTATCAGCTCTAGGAAAATCTCTTAAGGATTTAATTATCATTGAGGTTAGCCTCTTTCCCCTTCTTCCCGGCACAGCTAAGCAGACATTGCCAAAAAGTAGCAAGTTGTGCCATGCCTTGATGGTTGGTGGAGCATTTAAGATAGTGGAACCATCGTATACTTTTTTCAGGAGGTCTGTAAGTTTCCCAGCTGTGTGTGGATGGGCTGCTTTGGGAATATGGGCGAGTGTCCTGGTACTTGTTGCTTTAATTGCTTCCAAGATATTGTCTGATGAGATGAGATCTGTTGGAGTGGGTTCAGGTGCCTGAGGTGGCACTTTCCACAGGAGGACATCCTGAACCAGGGCAAGTACCGTGTTTGCGGAGGAAACCAATGAGAAGCTCATTGGCATCAAGGCATGTAACTGAGAATTATTATTGTATTCCCAAAATTCGTCATATATATATGGGTCAAAAGTTCTACAAGAGTGAGGGAAACTATTGGCAAAGAGCATTAGTGTGACAAGAAAAGTCATAATTGGCATAACTAGTCACTTTCAATCAGTCCGAGTTTGCATTTCAAGTAGGGCTCTTGGTACAGGAGAGCAGACCAAGTGAGAGCGCTCACGCCCTGAAAAAACAGCGAAAATTTAGCTGATCTCTGATAAATGGTACAATTAATCCAAAGGTGTTTGACTCAAAAGGGATCTAACAAATTGCAGAGAGAGGCGTCGGTGCCTCTCTATGTGATAGCTATGTGGGAGTCTTGTATGGTCAAAATACGCAGTAGTACACGGACCATTTCCAAAGTCCAAAAATGACGAAAAGTTGACCAAGCACCAAACTGTGATTGGATCAAAAACATCTGGACAAAGATGCTGCTATCGATCCCGAATGCTCTTAGGCAAAGTGGAGAAAATCTAAATACGGCATTTTCCTCCGTGAGATTGACTGTGAAAAGTGCAGAAGAGTCTGCAAGTTCATTACCCTGGACGCCAGAATGGCATGAACTCGTCAGAAGACAACGTGTTCATCCATGCTGCAGAGGCTATTCAGGAACCGTCAATGAGAAGGACGATTGGTTGAGAGGAGCCAATGTTATTAAGAACTTAGAGATTAAGAGATTGTAACGATAGAAGCAGGAAGAAAATCAGTGTGTAAGATATCTGATGAAAATTAGACACATGTGCAACATCTGGTTATCTTTATTGTAGACGTATCGCCATTCAAAGCTTTATCAATACAGATTCTAGGCCATAACTAGAAGACAGTAGAAATCTATACAAAAGATGAGGTAATCAGTCCCTCAGCCATGGAGTTGGTGTGAAGACCACCGTGGTTGTACAGATTTTGAAGCACAGGCAAGGTGGCTGGCGCTTATATAGGCGTCTGCGGATAGGGACGTGTAGCAGACGAGGGCATAGTCACTGGTAGGCGGGATTCCCCAGTGGAAGTAGGTCATACCCAAAGTGATGGTTAGTTGTAGTAGCCGTGAAGAGTCATGTAGATGTCCTCTGAACCAAGATTCCATGATGTTGCAGTGTCTGACAAGTTGTGCAAGAAAGGTATACAATACCGACAAGACGAAAGCTAAGACACATGTGCAACATCTGGTTATCTTTATTGTAGACGTTTCGCCATCCAGTGGCTTTATCAATACAGATTCTAGGACATAACTAGAAGACAGTAGAACTATATACAAAAGATGAGGTAATCAGTCCCTCAGCCTTGGAGTCGGTATTGTATACCTTTCTTGCACAACTTATATGATATCTGCACGAGTGGTGTATACTTGTGCCATGAAAATACCAACTAAATCTTTTAATCGTCTGTGTCTCACATTCCGGACAAAATAGCTGCAGATCTTGCCTCAGAGGACTTAGAACTAACAGTTACAGAGAAGCTGCATGCGAGTATAATTTAAAACTGATTATGGAAGAGGGAGCGCATGTCAATACCAGACATAAGAGAGTTTGCAAAGGGAAAGGAGAGGCATACTCGAATCATCGGTATTTTCCAGGGTAAAACAGAACAGAAATGAACATAGTGAATAAGTAAAGGGGAGAAGAACGAGAGAAGTACTGTTCAAAAACCTATTGTACTTGACCATAAAGAAAGAATACTAGGAAAGGTGCAATTAATAAAGAAGTCAATAATTTACAAAGAATGATGTATACCAAATGTCTGTGTGACTGTACTGTAGTCGCTTCGACGGTCTTATCCCGGCCCCGGTCTTTTCCAGATGGCATGTTGTCATCTGGAAAAGACCCTGGTATGCGAGTACCCATAAAATCCCACTACCCATTCCTTTAACTGATATATACAGCAAGTTTGGAAGGTACACATTTGCTCCTGAGAAAACAAATGATGGTCTCGGTGCACTATGGCAATAATGTTAGAGCATTACTGGCACAGTAATGCTAGAGCAATACTGTCATAGTAATGCTCTAGTAATGCTAATGTCTATTAATGTCTATAAATGGGAGTGTTGGTACCCGGGGATGTTGATATCCTTGGGGAGAAACTTGACTCCAAACTGACTATGAAGAACCACATTGTAAATCGTCCAAGCAAAGCTGCCAGTAAATTTACAGCACTTAGACGTATCTCACGTCTGCTTGACATCAGAGATTGCAAGAATCTGTATGAAGCACAAAGGCACTTTCTTGTCATTGCCTGAAGGTCTCATCTGGGAGCTCTTGATAGAATAAAGAACAGAGCAAGACGGATCATCTCTCGCTTGGAGCCAGTCTGGGCAGATATGACATTTCAGCAAAGTCTTCAACACAGGAGGAATGTGGTTGTACTTACTGTTATGTACAAAGCCAATACTGTCAGGTACCACATTCGGCTGCACTCCAAGGACAGCGAGAAGCAAACTTCAACACAACAAGATGGGCAGCAGAGAGTAACTACACTCTGACTGTACTCTTCTCCAGAATATCACTTCATCTGAGATAATTTATTCATAGGATGATTCGTGTCTGAAACATGTTAATACAGCATAACGACATCAACGAAATAAAGTCAACTGACCAAATGAAATTGCTGGCCCACAAATGGCTCCAACTTCATTCTGTTCCCTATCTGTATACAACTTAACTATAAAAAGTTTTCAAATGATCTGTTGTAGGTAACAGCTCTTAGCTTGTAAATAACGTTGAGAACCTTGACTAACCTATATGTATGGGCCAACAGGCCTGCTGCAGTGTTCCTCCTTTCTTAAAACATAAGAACATAAGAAAGAAGGAACACTGCAACAGGCCTACTGACCCATGCGGAGCAGGTCCATGTCCCCCCCCCCCACCGGATTAAACCAATGACCCACCCAGTCTGGTCACCTCCACTCAAGGATGGAGCACGGCACCAGACCCAGCAGCACAAGCTAGTCAGGTCCAACTCACACCCACCCACACCCACTCATATACTTATCTAACCTATTTTTAAAACTACACAACGTTTTAGCCTCTATAACTGTACTCGAGAGTTTATTCCACTCATCCACAACTCTATTACCAAACCAGTGCTTTCCTATATCCTTCCTGAATCTGAATTTTTCCAGCTTGAAACAATTGCTGCGAGTCCTGTCTTGGCTGGAAATTTTCAGCACGCTATTTACATCCCCTTATTTATTCCTGTTTTCCATTTATACATCTCGATCATATCCCCTCTAATTCCACGCCTTTCGAGAAGTGCAGATTCAGGGTCTTCAGTCTATCCTCATGGGAAGTTTTTCTTGATACAGGGAAAAAAATTATCACTCATCCTCCCTGACTTTTTTCCAGAGTATTTTATCCATTGTATACGGTGACCAGAACTGAGCAGATAGTCAAAGGGGCCCAACCAAGATTTTAGAGTTAAGAAAAACCTAGGATTCTATTATTTATACTTCTAGAATAAAGCCAAAAATTCTTTTTATTTATTGGCCCCATAAGCACTTTTGTCGGGGGTTTAAAGATTACTGCAACCAAAAACCCCTAAACCTTTTCGCAATCAGTAGTTTTTAAAGTCACATCATTTACTTATATGTGGCATGGTTATTTACTGTCCATTTTTTGAATTTTGCTTTGTCAATATTAAACTGATCTGCCATTCTCCGGGCCTTTTAACATCTATTCAAAACACCCGGAGTGCTCAGGTCCTCATTGAATGAACTGGACGGCCTATTTTTGGTGTCATCGCAAATTTGTTTTTTCGCTATTTTTTCCTCATCTATGTGTTTATGTAAAATTTTGAACAACAAAGGGGCCCACACTGAACCCCGAGGAACACCGCTTGTGACGTGCCCCCCATTCGATTTCTCCCATTTATGCAAACCTCTGCTGTTATTTGTCAGCCATGCCTTACCAGGAAAAAAAATTTTCCTCCTTTTCCGTGGCCTTAAATTTTTTCAATAGCCTCTGGGTGGAACTCTATCGAAAGCCTTATGAAGCATATAACAAAAATGCTGTGAGAGAGTGGGGGGGGGGTATCTGACTTCTCTTAAAAAGGTTCCATGATTTCTCATCCTCACATGGGAAAAACAAGGATATTACAGGGGAAAAGTTACTACGGGTTTTTCATTACTGGGTTTGCCTGATGTTTTCCATTTTTAAAAAGTCGACGAAACAAAGGTCGATTTGTGACAGTATCGTGCCCAAAGGCTCTGAGTTTTGTCTTTTTATGACACTTGCTTGTGATGTTCCTTTTTTTGAGTTCCTCTTTACTCACGTCATCTTTTAACATTTGAAAAACTTTTCCTAGGTGCCTTTTTCACTAAGTATATAGGGGGAAGATTAGGTAATGTGCCCATCGGAAAAGATGTGATTGATTTCAAAATGTGCCCTTTTAGTCATTTCGATTAAGCTAGACGTATATTCAGGGGTTATACAAACATCTGAAGAATGACCTTTCTGAAGTTACTGACTAAACCCAAAACACAAAATCCTAAATTTATCAAACCCACTGGTTTTGCCATTTGGAAAAAGTTAGTTTTTCTCTAAGAAAAAAATC